CTGGATTAGTTGCCCACTGTATTAGAAGTATCTACGACCATCACCTCAATGAGTTCTCCAGTCCCTGTTTAGATGGTACTCTACACAGGGTCACGAGCCCATTCTTCTATTTACCGGAATCAAAATCTGATTATCTAATAGTTGCATGTTTCTGTGTCTCTGTATATACTGGATGTTGACCAGTAGGTTATGTCTTAGATTGGTTGGTTCGTTGATTTGTTGTTTAACGCCGCACTCAGCAATATTCCAGCTATATGACGGCGGTCTGTAAATAATCGAGTCTGGACCAGACAAACCAGTGATTAATATCATGAGCATCGATCAACCAAGTCAGCGAGCCTGACCACCCGATCCCGTTAGTTGCCTTTTACGACAAGCATGGTCGCCTTTTACGGCAAGTATGGGTTGCTGAAGACCTATTCTACCCCGGAATCTTCACGGGTCTTATGTCTTAGAAGATGTCTTAGAAGATAGTCAAGGGCTTGGGTCTACCATCTGGTAGAAATAGGATCAACAGTCTGGCTCCTACAGTAGAAACCGAACTCATTTGGCCATAGTGTTGTAAGTGGATCACAAAAATCACCAGGGATGAAATACTGTCAATGAACGTCAGTCCTACTGATGAAGTATTGTGACTGGCCACTGTACTCTCATTGGGGAGATCTTCAGCAAGAGAAACTGACAATTGTATCCCCCTAGCCCTTATAATGATGTCTCTGTGTTGGGTGAAATCTTCTACTGCATGCAATGCACCTACAACACCTTAATCAACTACTTTTTCCATTTGGACCCATTTGATAAAATGTTTATATGCCTTTCCTATTCAAGATATCTTGTAGTCAGTTCTTATAACTCCTCCTCCGTGGTCTTGTGGTAGAGCGTCCGCCCGGAGAGCGGAAGGTCCAGGGTTCGATCCCGGGCCGCGTCATACAAAAAGACGTTAAAAGATTGTACTTGTTGTTACCCTGTCTGGCGCTCGGCATTAAGGGGCTAAAACAAGGACTGGTCGGCTCGGAGTCAGTATACTGTGTCTGAGTGGGGTATTCATGTTAAACTGCGGCATGGTATCTCAGTGAGCTAGCACTATAAATCGGCATCAGTCCGGACTAGTACAAGCAGCCACACACACACATACACGTGCATGCACGTCGCTATATAAGTGCAATAATCTTGGACGCGACGTTAAACCCAATTTCACCTCACCTTATAATGATAACATATAGCAAATTCCTTAAAGAAGGGCCAATTTCTACCAGTCCTTATGATACGTGAACTGGTGGGCAGTTTGGCAAGGACTACAGGACTAGTGCCAATTTCTAACCTGATCTTTGTTACCTTGCTACTTCTAATCAGCCTAAGGGGTGATCGGGTAGCCTAGTGGTTAAAGCGTTCGCTCGTCACGCCAAAGACCCGGGTTCGAGTCCCAACATGGGTACAATGTATGAAGCCCATTTCTGGTGTCCTCTGCCGTGATATTGCTGGAATATTGCTAAAAGCTGCGTAAAACCATACTCACTCACTAATCAACCTAAGAAATTGTGACAGTCGGTCAAGACCTGACAATCAGCGATCACCCAGTAAGAGAGCCTTGGTGCTGCATCCACACAGAGATTTTACTGACAGACACACGGACGCTTCAGTCAGTCCGTCATTCAAACCTTGAGTGATGCTGCCTTCAGTTCGGAGATGCGCCATATATTATTCACGAAATGTCAAATGGAAAAGACAAGCTGTGGACTGGCTGAATCGTTTCCATGCACTCAAGTTTTGTAAAAATATTTTGAAATGTAATATGTAAAAGGAAATGAGTACATTTATGGAATTTGAGGGTGAGAGTTTCCCAGTCAGACAACATGTTCAACACTATTTATGAGCATTAGTTGAACTGAGGTTTCAACAGGCTTTTTGGGTAATTTTCCCCGACTATGTCATGTCTGGTGTGTTTACACCCAGATGAATTAAGGTCTGCTGGACTCCATGCACCTAGAACTGGTGTAACTGGGCCTTGTATGGTGTTGCGATGCACATACAGGTGTAACGAGGCCTTGTGCAGTGTTGCTATGCAGGTAGAGACGTAACAAAACCTTGTCTACCAGTTGCTATGCACATACAGGCATTACCCGAGAGGTCATCGTCAGCATGTGACAAAATTATTTGCAGTTGGAAAAAAGTGAATTACAAGACAAGTTGGCGTTTAAATATGGTGTAATATATTTGTGATGTAGATTAGAATGTGCTGTGACCTGGATGTGAACTTGATGTCAATTACTCAGTGTCAAGTCGGAGAGGATGTTGGATGGGGCTGTCATGTGACATGTCAAAGGTCAAACTACCAGATACAATATTGTGACAGCATATGAATACTATATAAATTACTATTACTATGCTCATGATATCAATCACTGGATTGTCTGGTCCAGACTTGATTATTTACAGAACGACGTCACGTAGCTGGAATATTGCTGAGTGCGGCGTTATACAACAAACAAACAAACAAACAAACAAGTAAACTTAAAGCAGGTTTCAGATATTTATTAACTAAGATTGACGTAGATGAAGAAATTGATGAGGCTATCAGAGACTACTCACAACTGTCACAGGATTTTACTAAAAATAGTTTTCAGATCTGAATGAAATTCTGCTTGATATTTCTTTGTACTACAAGCTCTAGGGACCCGTGAAGATCTGGGGTAAAATAGGTCTTCAGCAGCCTATTCTTGACATAAAAGGTGACTATGCTTGTCGTAAGAGGCTACTGACGGGATCGGGTGGTCAGACTCACTGACACTCATCGTATCCCAATTGCGTAGTTCGATGTTCATGATGTCAATCACTGGATTGTCTGGTCCAGACTCAATTATTTACAGACTGCCTTCATATAGCTGGAATATTGCTGAGTGCAGCGTTTAACAACAAACAAACAAGCTCTAGGCAATATTCAGACAAACAGACAGAATTATCACCGAGGAACATGTGTTCAGGCTTCAGATATTTATAAACCGCGATAGACTGATGAATGAATTAACAAGAATATCAGCATTTCAGTGTCCATGAGTATTGCGTGTATTCTCCAAGAGAGAACTACATACAACTAGCACCTTGTCACATTTAACTAAAAACAGGTTTCAGATATTTATAAACCCAGATTGATATAGGGAAGGCTTAGACGAGTATATGAGTGTTCCTAGCCGGTATATCAATGCCCTGCATGCCTATACAAGCTGAGATAGCACTTGCACATATCAGTGTAGTGTATGTTCCTGGAGGTTTTGATTGCTGGGTGTTGAGAAGGATATGGCTGTCATGTATATTTTGAAATTGATGGAAGTTTCATGAGAAGAAAACAGCCAGTGTCCTTGAGGTTTAACTGGCTGATGACACAAGGGCACAAGATGTGAAGGCTGCGCATGTTCCCTGACTGCAAGAGTGTAACTCAAGTACACGGCGTGTCAGCTTAATGTGGGAGGAAAGCCTGAAGTGATGCAGGTCTCAGATGTTTACCACTTCGGTGAAACCCACGAGCACTGGTATGGTGCTGACAAACCTAGAAACATAATCAGGGCGAACCAGGATTCGAACCCACAATCATAGGTTTCTGGCGTGTTCAAGGGACGCAACTCTGCACAGTGAACCGCGGCGCCTTAGACGACTGGGCCACCAGTGCCCCCGGTTTTTATCTGAAGGTGAACCAATGATTCTTGATCCGTCAGCGCCATGTTGTACTTTGGACTAACGGGATCAGGCGGTCAGGCTCGCCGACTTGGTTCATGCATGTCATCGTATCCCAGTAGATAGATCCATGCTCATGATGTCAATCACTGGATTGTCTAGTCTAGATTTGTTTATTTACAGAGCTGGAATATTAGGCCTCCTAAGATATGTTATATATTAGGCAAGTCAAGATATGTGGACAGTAAGGACTCCAGTCTCTTATAAGGACAACTTATTCTTATTCATTTACATAATCTAGAAATGATGATTTAAGCTAATAATTATTTCCTTGAACATTTGTGCAAGTTTAGGTACATAAACACATGGTATGTTCATTAACTGCCATGTTTCTGCCCTACCTGTTGAAAAACATTTGAGCAAACACACCTCCCTCAACCGGTGAGCCTGTGAAAGTCCTTCCTCTTTAATCAACATTTAATGTCACTAATCTGCTAGTGTCTGCTATTGTCGTGAGTTTCCGTGGAATCGATGCCTGCCTGGTCTGACTGATGGAATGAGGTCTTCAACACAGATCTCCATCTTCTGCCAGACGTTTCATTCAGATTGCAGCACATTGGGGAGTTAATCTCCAAATCAAATTGAATTTGGCACTTTTTTGTTTTGTCTTTCAGTTTATTGTAGGAAGTGTTTCCTTTGTGGCCTTGTTTTATGCCTGCATGCCCGGTGTTGTACATCTCCTGTATATGACTGATGAAGGAATTAGTTAACTCTTTTGAATTCATGTTGACTCGTGTATCGTTCAGTAGTAACAAATAAGCATCTTGAAGAGAAAATACATTCTCATCAACTGTTGTGGCTTGGCAACCCGTGAAGATCCAGGTTAGAATAGGTCTTCAGCATCCCATGCTTGTCGTAAAAGGCGACTGTGCTTGTCGAAAGAGGATTGGGTGGTCAGGCTCGCTGACATGTTGATGCATGTCATCGTATCCCAATTGCATAGATTGATGCTCATGATGTCAATGACTTGATTGTCTGGTCCAGACTTAATTATTTACAGATCACTGTCATATAGCTAGAATATTGCTGAGTGCGGCGTTAAACAACAAACACGCACAGCTTGGCTGCACTGCTCTGAACATGTTTCAGCACACAGTAATTTCAAACTGCAATATTTTGTCACAATTGATCTGTATATTGATCTATGCCTGAGTCTGTGACATTTGACTGATATTTGACTGATATTTGACCTATATTTGATTGACCTGATCCTTTGGTGTTACTGGTGGATGGCGTGATGGTCATTTTATTCTTGACTCTTTGTTTGACAGAAATGTGCCACTAACAGAAGAAGATGCTCCGCAGCGCAAGTCAAGTGCCGGCACCATCCGCTCCGAGGGCGGAGCCAGCCAGTACTATGCCAAGGTGAGTGTCACACACAGTCACTAGTCCACTAGTCCACTAGTCTGAGCCTAGTGATACGGTGGATATATAGCTCATGGTGACTCCCAGCTAGAACACTACAGCAATGTAACACTACACCAATGTAACACTACACTATTTCCTGCTGGGGGTTACGACATATATCACATACTGTCACAATGTCATACACAAAGAAACAGACAAATATTTCCCAATGCCCATCACAACCCAAGCTCATAAAAGGCAACTGACCAGATTGGATGGCCAGGTTGACTTCGGTGATGCATGTCATCGTATCCATGTTGTTTAGAACAATGCTCATGATATCAGTCACTATATTGTCTGGTCCAGACTTTATTGTTTACAGGCTGCCATCATGTATCTAGAATATTACTGAGTGCGGCATTAAACAACACAAAAAACAATTGTTGCAAGGACCTCTGCTTTTGCATATATATGAACTTTCTCAAGAAATATGTTGCCAACAATTCTTGTCCGTATTTACATAATTTGCTCATTAACTTTGAAAATGTTGCATGATTCAAAGACTTCACAGTGATCCAGAGGTCCTAATGTTAAATATTTAAGGGGTTTCTAGGTTCAAAAACTACAGGAGAAGACCTCGAAGACCCCGGTCTCCCCCTTGTTTCCAACACTGCTACTGACATAGTGCAGTCAGTGGGATGCAGTGCACATTTTAGGGGGGCACAGGTGGCCCAGTTGTCTTAGGCGAAGGGATTCGCTGTGCAGAGTTGCCCCCCTTGGGTACGCCAGAAACCTATGATTGTAGGTTCGAATCCCGATTCATCCCGATATGTTTCTAGGTTTTTCAGAACCATACCCACACTCGTCTGAGACCTGCATCACTTCGGGTTTTCCTCGCACATTAAGCTGACACGCCATGATATAACTGGAATACTGTTATAAGTGGTGTTAAACCCAACTCACTCACTCACTCAGTACACAATTTAGGGGCATTCATACAGCTTGTATATCAGTACAGCACAACACTTCTGTAGACTAGATGGGAGGGATGTGATGACAGTGGGAATATCAGGGTGTGGGGTGGCCATGATGGCCTCACACCTCCAGAGTTAATAATGAAACTATCATTTGTTTGTTTGTTTGTTTAACTCGGCACTCAGCAATATTCCAGCTATATGACAGCTGTCTGTAAATAATTGAGTGTGGACCAGACAATCCAGTGATTGATATCATGAGCATCGATCCACACTATTGGGATCGATGACGTGCATCAACCAAGTCAGCGAGCCTGACCACCCGATTCCGTTAGTTGCCTTTTACGACAAGCATAGTCGCCTTTTACAGCAAGCATGGGTTCCTGTCTACCCCGGATCTTCGCAGACAATGAAACTATCAGCACAGCCTGTCACACAATAAACACACAATAAACACACAATAAAGCAGATTGTGATGGTCCTGGATACCATCTCTCAGTGGAGAAAACCACCATCAAACCAAGGCTGACCAATCCTTGCTGTAGCAGAATGGATGGACAGTGTAATGACTGGTCTTGTCGCTGTACGATAAGATAAGATCATTTATTGTACATTAGACCCACTACATGACCAATAGAACAACTGGGGCTATTTGGGGGAAACTTGAAATAACATATAATGAGTAAGGTTGTTTTATGCAGTAGTTTTCAGTTCTGGATAAGTCATGGTGGCTTGATGCCAGGCAGGTTCGTGGTTGACATCAGGGACAATGATACCAGTCAATGAGTGGTTTTCCTAGTAATAGGACCTGCCTCAGGAATCCTAGCCTTGCTCAAGGCTGTACTGAATGATAAGTCCATGCTTGTATAGTAATTTTATCTTTCTAATAGGCAAGTCGAGATAAGCTGACAGTAAGGATGCGTGTCTCTTGTAGGGACAACTTGTTCTTATTTTATATTATCCCCGGTAGTCTGGAAATGATTTAAAGTAATAATAATTGCCTTAGAGACTTAGACAAGTCTGCACTATTTTTCGCCTTGCTCCTCGGCTATGCTGAAAGAAAAGTCCATGGATGTGTAGTAATTCTAGTATAGAGATGGAGTGTGGAACTGTGGAAATATTTCAACTTGCTTGAGATAACAGGAACTGACAATCCTATCATATGTTGAAACTCCTCAAAGAGCTCTGGATGGCCTGCCTTTCCAGTCGTAGAAACAGTTTTAGCCCACTAGTCCTGATAATGATAACATATAGCAAACCAATTAAAAATGGCAAATTTCTACTAGTCCTTATGATACCTTAACTATTGGGCAGTTTAGCAAGGACTACAGGACTAGTGCCAATTTCTAACGCTGCTTTCTATTGGATGTGTGTGGGGTTTTGTTTTTGCACCAATGTTCTAGTTTCCTATATGTGCAGTATCAAATTCCCTTTGAGAAAGACCGCCTCCGTGGTCTAGTGGTAGAGCGTCCGCCCGGAGAGCGGAAGGTCCGGGGTTTGATCACCAGCCGCGTCATACCAAAAGATGTTAAAAGATGGTACTTGTTGTTACCCTGTCTGGCACTCGGCATTAAGGGGCTAATACAAGGTCTGGTCGGCTCGGAGTCAGTATACTGTGTCTGAGTGGGATATTCATGTTAAACTGCGGCATGGTATCTCAGTGAGCTAGCACTATAAATCGGCATCAGTCCGGACTAGTACAAGCAGCCACACAAACACACACACGTACATGCACATCGCTATATAAGTGCAATAATCTTGGACGCGACGTTAGACCCCATTTCACCTCAACTCACCACCCTTTGAGAAATATGGTTTCAGATGGTTGGTCTTTGCTGATTTTGTAATGTTACAATCTTAAATTACACGTTCTGAAAATGACCTAAAATCTCCTTTGGTTGCCTCCATTAACAGCCCAAGGAACATTGTCTTTTAAGGTTTGTAACTTGAACCAGTTTCCAGTCATGGATATATTTGCTTGCTGAACGACCATGTCAGGATGAAATTGGATTGGGGCTAATTATATGGCAATATTGTTCCAGCAATCTGGTTTCTCCTTGTATCAGTGTTAATGTCTGTGGATGCGGCCACACCTGAATTAATGGCTGTGCTGGTGGAGTTAGACAGTTGTTAACACTAACATTTACTGTGCCAACCGCCAGGCTGACTGTTTGGGTGGTCTGTCAGAACTGGCCACATATCCTGAACATACAATATTCATCTACCCTTGCCTCACTACAATGTACATCTACCCTTGCCTCTCTGCAATATTTATCTACCCTTGCCTCTCTGCAATATTCATCTACCCTTGCCTCACTACAATGTACATCTACCCTTGCCTCTCTGCAATATTTATCTACCCTTGCCTCTCTGCAATATTCATCTACCCTTGCCTCTCTGCAATATTCATCTACCCTTATTACTCTGCAGTAGACATTCTTCCATTGCTGTATGGTAGCTCAGTAGTCCCAGGTGTTTTACTGTGCAGAGTTATGTACCTTGTCACTGTCAGGATCTGATGATCAAATGTTCTGATCTTGGATTTGCCCTACATATGATCCTGAAACTTTGAGCTCCTACACTATGACTCATTCTACCCCAGGAGGGCGACACAGTTTACTGTGAGGTTTATGCAGTATTTGTGTCCTGCCAGTTTTGCTGTTGAGGTTTTTGTCAGGCCATTGTCAGGCCACAGTTTGCTGTCCAGGTTCAAACCACAGGTTCACCCAGTTCAGATCTCTGTTACTTGTAGTCTCACTTTCACCGTGATATAACTGGAATACTGTTAAAAGTGGCGTTAAACCCAACTCACTCACTCACTCACTCACTCCTATACCCAACTTACATGTCATGATACAACTGAAATATTGTTCAAAGCAACCACATGGATCATAGAATCAAGAAGCATGTTTTATCCAATGCCAGCATCCACACACCGAACTGCACTAGATGTTTGTTCCATTGTGAGTAAATGTGGGTTAATGAGGCTGCTGTGTGTGACTCCCACATCCCCCCACATCCCTCTGTGAGTCACTCTCTCTGATGGCTCCATCGTGTACAGTGCTGAGTGATGTTGTCAGTAAAACATGGTGTACAGTCTGTCTGTCATCTCTTGCAGTCAGGACCCGTGAAGATCCGGGGTAGAATAGGTCTTCAGAAACCAATGCTTGCCGTAAAAGGCGACTATACTTGTGAGAGGTGACTAACGGGATCGGGTGGTCAGGCTCGCTGACTTAGTTGAAACATGTCATCGTATCCCAATGACGTAGATCGATGCTCATGATATCAATCACCGGATTGTCTGATCCAGACTCGATTATTTACAGACCGCCGTCATATAGCTGGAATATTGCTAAGTGCGGCGTTAACCAACAAACCAACCAACCAACCAGCAGTGGTGTAGGTACTTGTTCAAGCTTGCCATCAAGGACAACTGTCTATGTCGTAGAAATTAGATGTTACATTTTGGGCAGTAAGAGTGAGTGAGTGAATATGGTTTTACGCCGCTTTTAGCAATATTCCAGCAATATCAGGGCGGGGTGACACCAGAAATGGGCTTCACACATTGTACCCATGTTGGGAATCGAACCCGGGTCTTCAGCGTGATGAGCGAATGCTTTAACCACTAGGCTACCAGACCGCCCTGGGCAGAAAGAGACAACAAGACGACAGTACAGAGTACGTCCCTGGAGTGAAGTAATGTGGTCAGTTTCTCCACAAGGGTTGCCATATACCTGGTTGTGACTTAGGCTTTACAGACACACTGGACCAACACTTCAGTAACTTTGAGGTGAGGTGAGGTGAAATGGGGTTTAACATTGCGTCCAAGATGATTACACTTATATAGTGACGAGCATGCACGTGTGTGTGTGTGGCTGCTTGTATTAGTCCGGACTGATGCCGATTTATAGTGCGAGCACACTGAGATACCATGCCGCAGTTTAACATGAATACCCCACTCAGACACAGTATACTGACTCCGAGCCGACCAGTCCTTGTTCTAGCTCCTTAATGCCGAGTGCCAGACAGGGTAACAACAAGTAC